AAGCCACAGAGATGCACAACGAATGTGTATCAACGAAGCATCTTCAGGTGGGTATCTTGGTACTGGGCATGCCTGCCTGTTCGACGATAAGTGCTAACTTTAGGACTCACGCTTTGCTCGCTGCGCCACCCATACCCTTGTTACTAGTGAACGCTGCAAACGCTCAAGAAACTAAGGTGACTAACAGGGGGTCTCGCTGATTGAACAATTTCGCACTGATACGAATGAGCGAACAACAGTTCCATTGTAAAACGGCTTTGACCTTATCGACAACTATAGTTTTTCTGATTCGCAACAGAAGGTCTTTTGTTATTCTAACATTATCATCTAAACTTTGGGTAATTCAACGAGTAAAATGCCTTAGGCCACAAATTTGATCTACCAAATCGTTCCTGCCTTCTTCGCCAGGAGGAGGTTGGAAAACCACAGGGTCATATGAGCACACGACGCTACAAAAGACTGCTTAGGAGTCACAATAGCATCTTCCTGTAAGGATTCGTCGATAGTTGTGCTTCGTTGGAGAAGCAATGATTTGGAAAGGGCACCTGCACGAAATGGCATTAAAGATGTGACTTTGATCGATCTGGCCCGATTTGTGTATTATACCAACATGTTTGGTGGGCCCAAGGAAGTATCTTCAGCGACGCTGAAAAGGGCAGAGTATTGACCACCAGCGCCGGCTCCAATAATCTGCTTGCCACGGATGGCGGTGTTATCGATCACAGTGGGAGTGTGTATGTCGTCGGTCGTGCCTTGGCCGGTCTGGTAGTTGCCAGAAAAGCCCCAAGAGAAGACCTTTCCGTCGGAGGCGATGGCGAAGCTGTTGTCAGTACCAGCGGCGACAGCGACGATGTCGTTATGGTCTGGAATGATCTGCGTCAGTGTACATGTCAAACAAGTCAAATGTTAGCCGGGAACTTACCAGGTTGGACAGTAGGCCTGAAGAGAATACGAGGATTGCCTCGATCGTCGTAGATGGTGTTGTCACCAGAAAGCTTGTCAAACTCGAAGCCAACTTGGTAGCCATCGACACGGCCCCAAGTCAAGATATCACCATTGGCGGAGCAAGCGACGGAGTGGTGCCCGCCACCATCAATGTCTGTGATCTTCTTATGATTAAGGTAGGAAAGCTTAGCAGGTCGAAGGATGACAGCATCGTCCTCACCAGCGTTAGATTCGACACCGACCTGACCGAAGTTATTTAGGCCCCAGCCGTAAACCTTGCCGTCCGTGTCAAGGGCAAAGCTGTGGTACGAACCGCAAGCGATCTTGCTAATTCTGCCGCGTGGCAGACAAACACCCCGGGGGCTGAGACAGGACATCTTGTGACGCTCAATGATGCGTCGACCGAGCTGGTTCTGCTGACCACAGCCCCAAGCGAAAACGTTACCCTTGACGTCAAGAGCGAGAATGTGGTTGGAACCGGCAGCGAGAGCCTTGATGTTCTTGGGGTCGCGCAACATAAGAGGTGTAGACTGGACCCTGACGGTCTCTGAGAAGCCGAGAATACCTTCGCTGGATCGAAATGTTCCCCAGCCGTAGACCCGACCGTCCTCAGTAAGGGCGAAAGTGGCGCTATCACTAGCAACGACTTGGACAAACCTAGTACCGGGAGCAAAGTGTTCGCTCGATA